GGCCTTGCGCATGCGCGCCCCATTCGCGTGTTCTCGTCCGCGCGCCCTCGTCACTTGCACGGTTGCTGCCCACGTTCGACGTCCCCGTACTCTTCTCGCGTTCGCTTGTCCGCCCGCGCGCCCCGTCGACGCCTGCGTCCCGATCGCCTATCGCGCACCCGCGTATACCTGCGGTTCCACGCGTATCGTCGACGCCCGCCTCTTGCCTACCTCCTGCGCACGATGACGCGTCACTCGCGTCCAACATCCTGGTGCCGCGTTTCCGTTTAACGCTTCGGCCCTTCGACCCCTTGCGCGCATCACGACACGATGCGCACCATCCGTCCGATAGTTAGTCCTCGCCGATCCCTTTGTCGTCCGGCTCCGTTGGCTCGCCCGTTGGCCATGGGTCTTATCCATCCATCCCAATGCAATCACCAACTCTCCAAATCCAACCATCCTCCATTCTACTCTTACCTCCCTTTCGAGCCACCATCTTGCGAACTCGCCTTTTTCTCGCGCAAGGCTTGCACCAACACTTTTCCTCCTTTGCCTTCGCCTTGTGTTTCCTTCGAGCTTGTTTGGTCTTGCTCCTCCTAGGCTTGAGTTTAGCTTGTGGACCACATCCCTTTGGCCAGTCCCTCTTGCATGATGGTCGATAAATTAGACTTGATGGCTCTTCCAACATGTTCTCCAACCATAAAACGAGACCATCGTATTCTTCATCGTCAGACTCACCGGGGTTGATGACCACTTCCGTATCACGCGGTGATGAAGGATCAGGTGTTGCGTTCACTCGTCTTGTCTCGATCACGGCTTCGCCACGGCCTTGCTCTCGACGATAGGTGTGATCGACTCGGTTATTAGCCTAACTCTCTCACGATACTTGAGTTCACTCGGGTATTAGCCTTGCTACACTCTCGAAATAGATCGGGTCTTAGCCTCTCTAAATCGTTGAACTGGTTCGGGTCTTAGCCTCACCAATTCGATTGCATGATCGAATCTCACGACTCTAACACACGGTTTCGAACTAACGTTCTTTTCTATTTCATCATTCTTGGACCTCTAAAAACAATGAGAGATGCTCCCTATTTATAGATCCTAACTATGACTAATTCTAATCTACCTAGGAAACATATTAAAGCAATAAAATATTAAATAACCTATACAATCTAGATATTATTGTGCAAGAAGGAAACTAAATATCTAGAGTCCTAAATTGACTAGATCTTGATTTTGCTTGGCTTGCACTCCAAACAAATCCAAACTCACGCCTCAAGTAATTTCGGTCGCCTCATTGCGTACGCCGCCTCTCATGCGCGCGCCCTCGCACGCCTAATCCTCGG